GCTGTCCCGCTGGCCGCCCGTGGCACAGTACAGGGGCCCAAGCGTTCCTAACCAATTCGCGAGGCTGCCCCATCATGTCACGTTTAATCTCGGGGTGGACCGTCGTGCCGGTTGGTGACCGGGGCGTGGGGTCCCGGCGACCACTCCCGGGGGGGTGCGGGGGCCCTTCCGTCCGGCGGGTCGGCGCATCTCCTCTGCAGGGAAAACAAATCTCCCTTATTTGCCCGGACTCTTCGCGACAGCATCCGCTCGTTTTCGCGTCTCTTTCTTTCATTTCCACCATGGCAGCCTCAATAACAAAGTTTGGACGTACAGCGGTGCACACCCCCACGCCATCAACGCTGTTTGAGGTCGAGTTCTGCAACATACGCGGACTCCACTCTAACCTCAACGCTGTCCACCACCATATCGAGACAGCACGGCCAGCATTGTTGTTCCTGACGGAGATACAAATACTTCCGCCTGCTGACACAGGCTACCTTAATTATCCCGGCTACGTGCTTGAAGAGTCCTTCAAAGCGAAAGCCGGTGTATGCCTGTATGTTCGGGCGGATGTTTGTTGTCGCCGTCTCCGCTGCTTGGAAGATCCCTCCTTCTCCATGCTGGGGGTACACGTCGACTCTGGCCCCCTGGCCAGAGTATACGTGTGCCTCTACAGATCTCATACCGGCGATGTTGAGATAACTCGACTTTTTGAGCACCTTAGGCGGGCAGCAGATGACGCGCAGGAACAATTTCCCAATGCAGAATTGGTGTTTTCGGGGGACTTTAATGCTCACCACAATTTGTAGTTAAGTTCTTCCAAAACTGACCATGCAGGGATCTCTGCTCACACATTCGCTCTCACGCATGACTTGAAACAACTGGTTGATCAGCCCACCAGGATCCAAGATATTCCAAGTCAAGCGCCTTCTTATTAAATTTGTTCTTCTGTTATTCTTCTGTTATTAAATTTGTTTGAAGTACAAAAATTTTGCTTTTGTAGTAATTGAAGCGACAGTGCAAGTTTAATAGGACTGTAGGTTTATTCGCCGTCTTCACATTCAATGTTGAATCCTTAAATGGCTCATGCGACCGTCATATTAAAATTCACATATAAGCTTAATGTTTGAAGTGACCACATCTAGCAAATTCAAGTAAAGTATCTAGCTAATTGTATTATCCGACATTCTTATGTATTTATAAGGTAAAGCTAATTGTATGAAGCGACTTTACTATGTATTTGTAAGGTAAAGCTAATTGTATTAAGCGACAATCTTATGTATTCATAAAGTAAAGCTAAATGTATGAAGCGACATTTCAAAATATTTATAAGGTGAGGCTAATTGGTTTAACGTACATTGTCTGTAAATTGTTAATCCAGGAAAGAGGGTTTAAATAACTCTCTGGTATTTCATAGTGAGCTTAAGTACACAGTTCCTAAATTTGTCAAAATTTTGTGTCGGTACATACATCGCAGTGCAAAATGGGCTCCGAAAATGCGATAGTATTGAGCGACAAAAAAGTGCTCATATCGTCACCAAACTCAGCTCAAACGACGCGGAAAAATTCGCTGATTCCAAATATGTATATAAGTCAATTTCGCCCAAAATGTCGCTTCATACAAATAGCCCGGGAACCGTCGATATTGAATTTTGATTACTATCATATCTTTAGTAGCACTCCCATGATTGAGACGAATCGATTGATGTATGAATCATCAAAATCGGTCCAGGCGTTTGGTCTCTAGTGTGCCACAAAGGAACAAACATACATATATATATAGACTGTTAAACACATAACCCTGTCTGCGCGTCGCGCATCGCGCTCTTGCATTGCGCAGTCGGGTAAAAATAGCAAAATGCTAATAGTTAATTGCGAGACTATTGCCAGAAGACCAAGACCAGGTGTATTGGCGCAGGATGCAAGACCAAGACTGGCCAAGTCTCGTCTTGTTCTTGCATTCAGGCAACACTATAGCTGTCGGTGGAGACGGAAAATTCTTACACTTTTTTCGCCTGACCTTTCCTTCCCAAGCGATATGGAACTTGGTTCTAAAACATACCACTGAGCCACATACATACGTACTAGCCACTGTAATGATAATGAGCGATTACGATTACTACTTACCTATATCAAAAATTCAACAAAATCGGTTCAGCTGTATAATGAATATGGTAACAGACAGAAATACGCAGACTCCTAGAATACCTGTCCGATTTTAATATTAATTAGCAGGTATGGAATTATGGATTGAGAAAACAAACAAAAAAATCAAAAGATCCGTAGGGAGGGCCTTGGCTCTTCCTTTGGTGTTGGCGCAAAAATGGAAATAGTGGGTGATGAATTGGTAACAGAAAGAAATGTATTGTAAATAAATAATGTTTGTTATTTTATCCCACCTGTGGGGCCCGATCGGTCCGGTCTTTATATACACACATCAAAAGTGTCTAGGGATCAAGCATTTTTATGCGGATTTCTTGAGATTGAGATGTGGCTTTGTAATAAATTTATGGTTTTATAAATTTATATGGATCCTTTTTGGTGCATTTCATAATTTGAATCAGGAACTGTGAATCAAATTCGAGTAAAAGATGAAAATCAGCTGTCAATATTTTCCCTATAAAAACATACAACGCATTGAAGACATTATTAGTGCTACCGTTTCCCTACTACTGATTAAAACCAACGTTATTATGGAGCGGCGACGTCATTTAAGCAGGGAAGAAATGCTCAGAGCCGTGGGAATGATAGAAGCTGGTTCCCGGCAACGTACTGTGGCTTTAGCTCTGAATACAAGTCAGAGTGTTATCAGTCGACTTTGGACACGATACCGAAGCACTGGTACCGTGGCTGAGCGCCATGGAGGACGGTATCGCTGCACCACACGGAGACAAGACCGATACATTCAAATCTTAACTCGAAGAGCTCCAACAATAACCGCCATGATGTTAGCCGTGAGGCTTCATCACTCTTCAGGGAACTTAATTAGCGACCAAACAGTCAGAAACCGCTTGCATGAAGTGAACCTTCATTCCCGAAGACCGCTACGGGTACCACCTATAGCAATGCACAATCGTAGGATTCGATATCAATGGGCTCTTGAACACAGAAATTGGGCAGAAGAACAATGGCGTTTCGTGTGCTTTTCTGATGAGTCTCGTTTTGGTATGAGACCGGATACAAGACGTATACGACACTGGAGAACCCCTGGACGCCAACAGCGATTAAAATCCTGCCAGGAAGTCCATCCTTATAGTGGTGGAACCATCATGGTATGGGCGGGTATTTGGATCGGCGGAAGAACTGAGTTGATTTGGATCAGAGGCAACCTCAACGCTCAAATTTATGCTGAGACGATTGTATCAGACGTCATCGTTCCTCTACAAGTGCAAATCGGTCCCTTATTTCAGTTAATGCATGATAATGCACGACCGCACACCGCAAGAGTTGTAAGACAGACTCTCGCCGCAGCTAACATCAATGTCCTGCCCTGGCCTGCTCAGTCGCCAGACTTGAACCCGATTGAGCATGCATGGGATATGCTACAGAGAAGAGCTCTGCCGAATATGGAGGGTATCCAGTCGCAAGAAGACCTTTTTTTGTTGTTGCAACGAACATGGGCGGCCATTCCACAGCGTGATTTGGATGAACTCATTTTGAGTATGCCAAACCGATGTTCTTGTGTTGTTAGTGTTCGCGGTAGAAATACGGATTATTAATTGTTTAAGTTACCCAATAAAATTTTAGAGAAAACTGTTATTTCAGTCTTTTTTTCCAACTTTTGTGTTAGTGGTTCAAATGTCAAAAATCCCTTTATTAGGAAAATGGCAAATTTCTTTATTAATGCAAAGGTGACTAGGTTTATCGTTACTGTGACAAACGAAAACACTTTATTTGATGAATCCTTAAAGAAAATTTTAATTAATATCAATCAGGAGAAAAGTTATTGCAAAAATATATGTTGATCCCTAGACACTTTTGATGTGTGTACTTCTATCACTCTAGACGAAACTTCATACTCATTATGATCTGCCGCCATCTTGATCGAAATACGTGTGCTCCGTGTGAGTTACCAACTAACTTGAGAAATCGCCCCGATTTCACACGCGGCAAGGCGTGCAGGGCGGCAGGGACAATCAAGGAACCAAGGGTGGTCTCGCGCCCGTCGCAGGGCCAAATGAGTAAATTGCCCCTGCTTGACTACACACATTACAATTAAGTGTCATCCCCACTCTTGCACCCTATATTGACCCTGCGGCAGGGATGTCAGTAGCCTGCTTTATAGACCAGGGTCGATAATTTTTGAGACCAAAGAAAATTATAGTAGGATGAAACCCATTAGAAAAGGTAGAGAATATAACAAAAATGAAAGGAAAAATAAATTACGGGCGTTCTGAGGTCGGGAAGGGGGAGGGGGTGAGTTTTTAAGGGTAAAAAATGGTTAATCTCGATTTCCGGTAAAACTGCAAGTCCTATGAAAAAAAGTTAAATGGCAAAGTTGTAGGTAATAAAAAGATCTACAACTTCTGTATCGACACTTTTTTCACATAACCTCAAAATTAATGTGAAAAATGCAAAGAACCGAGTTTTTGATTACCTTTTTTAAAATTATCGACCCTGGTCTATTAGTCACACCACTTTAGTCACTCTTAAGACAAGGGCGTTGCCAGCCTATGGCCCTCTAGACCATAGGCTGGCAACACCCTTGTCATGGAATGACCCTGGTTCAACACTTGTGTCAAAGCATAGTCGGTGTACTTGGCCCATCTTCTCCTTTTAAAATAGTTTAGGTTTGTGGCATTCAAAAATCCAGTACAGAGTTTATGAAGCTTGATCAACTTAATACAAAGAAGATTCTCATGAGCAAGTATCCCAATGGGGAAATCTGAATCTTGTCTCATTCAGCCCAGCAACATACAAGTTTGTGCATTCACTGTGAAGGACTATGTAATACAAATAACAAGTGCAATAAAATAATATATAACTGTATATTTTTTATTTTAAATATATTAAACTTAGTCATGATGATGTGAACTAAACAATAAATTATGCATAATCAATAATATACACAATATTTAAACTTAATTTATAAATGGCATGGTAGTGTTACAATTAATTCTCAGGAACATTTTCTCCAATCCACTTTAAATAAGGAGGATTTCCATTTTTAATAGGAAGTGAAATAACTTCACATACTTCATAAGGATGGTTGCTTCGCACATATTCGGTCAGCTTATCAACTTGACTGGTCCTTGTTTTGATCATGAGGAGTGCCTGCAACAGGGAATTGTGCAATGTTATTTATAACATACATTTGTACATAATCATTCTATTCAGAAGGAATTAAAGATCATTAAAAAAGATCAAAGATCAGTGGTTCTTAGCCTTTTAGTATGAGGGACAATTTATCACAATTTCTATCTTACTAGCAAGGCCCATTTAGGCCTAAGGGTAAAAAATACCCCTCATTGCAATCAATAGTTTTCTGAATGGCTTTGCAGACAAATTTGGGTGTTACCCGGGACTAGGGCTGCCATCTCTAAAATGTGGCAACCAGGATAAGACGCGTGATAACCCCGGATTTTGGAGCCCAGAACCCGGACAGACCAAACAAAAAACAGTTAAAAATGTCACAAATCAACTTTTTTATGTTGATCTAGGCAAAAGAGCTAGCAGTGCTGCAGACACTTGCAGCACCAAGGGCCACTCATGCGTTGCCGTATTTTTTTTAACCCGGACTACAAATAAAATCCCGCCCGGACGCTCCCCGGACGCCCCGTAAACTAGGACAAATCCGGGGAAACACGGACGGATGGCAGCCCTACCCGGGACCACCCGTTGGCCACAGACCATCAGATAAGAACCACTGGTATGGATACTAGAAATTTAGACAGTTCATGGATGTGTTGTTATTTATTCTTATAGTGTTGATAGTAATGTGAATTTAGTGTAATTGTTGCTTATTGAACTTTATTATAGAATCTTTTTTTTTACCTCATTATCTTCATTGATTTCATTTTTCCATTCATATATGGAAATGACCTGTGGTATGATGTTCACACATGCAGCTAGTTTATTCTTTACCAATCCATGACCGATCGTCTTCCCCACTTCAGTGTTTGGAACTGTTACGTATGCCACGGAATATTTATCTGCAAAATTTATAAGCATAACTCATCAGATGATCCAAGATCATAGCAGATGATGAGCATTGTTTTTACAGTGCTGTTGCCGTAAATCATCAGGCGGGACTAGTCTAGTATAGATTGCTAGGAGTATGACTACAGATTTAGCCGTCAACAACAGTTTTACGCGCCTTTGCGAGAAAAATGAGTAATAATCGGGAAAAATTAAATCACGATAAAATATTTCAATACTGACCTGCATCTACACTGCCTGAAGACATATTAGCTTGGGATACAACAAAAATCGGTCTAATAATGGTAAAATAAACAGTTATCAGTGATTTTCTACTGAGAATTATCATTATTTTCTAGATTTTCGTCATTTTTTCCGATCAAAACAAATAATGACATTCTGTGACCACAGAATACAAAGAGTATGTTTATTGGGGCCTGACAGCTATAGTTCCATTTTCTAAGTTTTGGCGCTAGCGTCGAGGATATTTTTTTATAGCCTGTGGTTAACCATGGGTTACCCGCCGCCATGGTGTCACTACTGACAGTTCAGCTTACTACATAAAATTAAATAGTGATCAGAGTGATCTGCTTAGATAAGGATTCTTTAGCTAGGCAGATCTGCCCCCCTATGCCCGCATGAGCACCGCGATAAGATATTTACGTTTTTATCACGCTCAATTGTCAAATTACTTTGGAGTTCGACAGTTAGACGTGATAAAAAACGTCATTTAATGTAAATTACAGTGCTCATGCTACGGGGGCTTTCTAGCATCATTATATTATTCTATGATGTATGGTTTGTGGGGGCTTTGATACTAGGCCTAAGGGTGCGGCCAGAGTGCACTCAGATTCAGAGTCAGATTCAGATTCTGAAAACAAGTGCGAGAAATAAACAGTGTAGTCGAAGGGTACGGCCAGATTGCACTCCTGATTCAGATTCAGATTCAGACTCAGAAAACAAAGCGCGAGAAAAAGCAGGCAACCTGCTTAGACTACTCTGTTTATTTCTCGCGCTTATTTTCAGAATCTGAATCTGACTCTGAATCTGAGTGCACTCTGGCCGCACCCTAAGGTTTACTCTCTATTTTTTTAACGTTCTCCCATTTCAGAGAAGGCAAAGGGAACAATGTCCATACAGCCTAATCTTCAGTTCAGTTGGTTGTAACACATTCTAATGTTTCTTGGAATGTTAGGCATGAAATGTATCTAGTTAGCTTTCTCGATTAGCTTCTGTGAGGTAGGTAGTCAACACTACAAAGAGTTCTCACGCCCACTAGACTGGAATAGCGTATATTTTAAAGATTTCACCAATTTTATTTCACAATATCCACTATGAACCAATTAAAGAATAATTAAAACAAGACGCCAACCGCACTCGATGAAATACCGCCAAAAACCCCCTTCTATTTTTTTGATCTATTTGCAGGTAAATGCTCTAAGATTTGTTCCTGTTGGAACGGGTAAAGGAATCTGATTCCATACAACCAATCTCTTTTTTTTTATTATTAAGTGTTCCCTTTTTTGGGAAAGCAAGGAGAACGATGCCCATACAACCTCGTCTCAAAACTACTTTTTTTTGTATTACCCTCCCTTTATAGTAAGGCACAGGATATTGAGTCTAACCAACCTAGACTTAAAAATTCAAAATTTTATTTTGTTTAGAATACTGATTAAAAAGAATTTAAAAACACAGTTTAAACCCATTTGAACGTGTTTCATTAAATGAGTGGTGTGCGTAAAAACTAAAGAAAAAAATATAGAATAGTGATATTAATAATATGTCTTACCTATGAAATTGCCGTTCTGCCGTGCTGGCTATTTTATAATTACCTATGTATTTATAATTTCAAAATATAGAATTTATTTTTTGAAAATTAGTCATTTGTTTGATGGTAAGTTTAATTATTAATGTTAATTTCGACCTAGGAAATGAACCCCATGGTTAACCGAAAAATTTAGTCGGCAATGACGAATTAAAGGCGGTTGTGGAAGCTGATGATTCACAATCTACAGCTGAATTAGAAGCCGCTTTAACTTAGGCATATTGAATCGCAATGTCAAATCGCTAACCCAACAGTGCTCCCTCGCCTGCCGGAACGGGTTTCGTGGGATCCTCGTGACTCTCCACGTTACCCCCGGCAGGGGTTCCACCTCCTCCTGGCTTCGATAGTGAGACTGTGCAATGCGGACGACGGACCACCCTGTCCGCCGCCCGCTAGCCTCACTAGAGTGGAAAGAGGCGGCGTACCGTCGCCGCCTTCCATCCCGCCGTCGACGGCGGAGAGGGCCTGCCCCGGCGTCCACCTCGCGGTCCCTCTCCGTCATAGGTAAAGACCTAATATAATATCAGAATATTTTAAAATAAGATGCCAGCCGCAGTCGTTGAAATCTCGCCATTCAACCTCTGTACAGGCTTTGTCAAATCATCCGTACCACAGTCTTCAATTACTGTTAATGTTTTTGTTTCAAAGTAAAGTCGATGTAATTACATACATACAGAGCGCCCACACTAAAACCGTTTTATTTGTGAACGTGAATTCAGCAGCGCCCCACTTTTTATTGCCTCATCCATTTTGGTAACTTATTAAATTAGAGAGCGAGTTCCACTTTCCATTCATCATCTTGCCCAGAGCCAGATTAAGAGGTGTGGAGGCCCTCGATCCTGCCCTGGGGCAACGAAGGAGTAGTATCCCATGATCTTGCCACAAAACTTTATTTAACTATGTACCTATACGTTGACTGGTCGACTTCGTTTAAAAGGTTTAATTAAAGATCTACATGCAATTTATCTGATATCTTTAATTAATTAATTATATATCTTTAATTTTAATATATTTAAATATTTGTTTATTTAAATCCATAGGTAGGTAATGCGAATAAAGGATTTATGTTTGTACATAAAAAAATAAACAAATTCGTATTTTGCTGGTTTATTTATAACCTATATTTTTGTATTATGTACAATATAGTGTAGCGATCGTCGATACTTAAAATTAAGGAGAATAAGAATAATCTTTATGGGTACCTACATCTATTACTAACTAATGCTTAATATCTTCTAGACTCAAGTATCGCCATCGATCATGTAGGTAACTGACATCGAATAAGTTTCAACTACTTATTTTTATGCCTCACATAATGTAAGTATATGTATATGTCGTAGGATGATAAATCTAATTTTCGCGAAGAATCTTTTGCTCATTATAAATATTCTTGGGTTTTTTGTTTTATACTATAAAATTCTAGATTAGGTTAGTGTTGTGACTTCTGACCATCCGAAGGCGAAAGCGAAGCGTCAAAAAATCCTTAACAGTTAGATTCAGCAATGTCATCGCCATTATCTTATTATCCACGTTTTCTCAAAATTCCCAGGATTTTCGCAACAATTCGATTTATCAAATACTCCTACGACATAAAGCTAACTGCAATACACACAAAAAATCTGTCTTCGTCAACTTTTGGTGCACTTTCGCAACTTGTGCATTAACAACTCTTGTTTTCCCACTGGCTGACTTGCTTAACTAGAAAAAGATATCCTCTAGGGATTTCGTTATTAACAATGAAAGTAGAAAGTAATCACTTCTTTACCAAATTGCCAAATCTGAAACTTCTAACATTCAGTCAACGAATTTGTTGCTGAAACTATTATCATGATATATAAATAGGTGCTATAAAAATTACTTATGAGTAAGTAACTTGCTCGTTTGAGTTTGAACTTCAAATACTTGGAAAGCATACATCTTATTAATAAATAGCTAATCATTTCCTTAATTTGTTATTTGTACAGTTCTAAATGTATAAAGTCACAGAAAAAATGCTTAGAACTTAGTTGTAAATCTTCTTCCTGTATGATTCTTCTCTAGTCCATAAAAAAATGTGTCAACTTGAGTATTTAAAATATTTACTTCGTCTTGTCAGAGTTGTTGCGATTTTTCCTTGTTGAGGTTTTGGCGATCGTTATCACGGAGCTCGCTTATACCTGTGAAGAAATAATAAAAAATATGTAAAATATCAATAGCATTCTGTTTTTCTTATTTATTCATCATTCATGCATTCTACTCTCATTGGATTTAAACAAATTAGGACTGAAGAGAGAACAGTGTTTGAGAAAATATTGGACTACCTAAACATACATGTGTTTTGGTAAACCAAAAGCTTCATCGTCATCGTTCAGTCATACGACGCCTACTGCCATAGGGCTCCTCCAAAGATCTCCACAGAGCTTAGCTACGCTAATCAAAAGCTTACAAAATAGGGATAGGAAACAACGACAACAGTACTATAAACCTTATTTCTATTTAGTTGGTAATTAATATTGATTAAATGGTTTATAATGTAACCACAATTAGTAACATAGGTAATAAAACCAAAATAAGTAGATAGACATCAAACAGCAAACGAGTACGTTCACGGCAATAAAGAAATGCTTAATAACAAAATTCATCCCACTAAAATTGATTTATTTCTTTGATTCATACTAGACTTGCAACGAATATTCGGTTACTATTCGGTATTCGGCCTATTTGGCTGCTTTTATTATATTCAGCCGAATACCGAATATCTACATATTATTCGGCCGAATACCGAATACTTAAATAATATATTTTGTCATGGAGAAATAATATAATTGGTAAAATGAAAAATTAAAATCGATTGATTACGTATATATTCATATTTTCATTTCTATATAATCATTTAAGATGTCATTGGTACATAATCACCTTCTGAATTGGAAAAATGGAGGATTCTATGTATTTGAATTATTGTGGTAATCAAAATTTAGAAGGGTATAAGGTTCTCTTTTCTTTTATAATCATTTATAAGGTAGTCATTGGTACATAAAACATCATTTTCTCTATTAAACAAGTTAACAGTTTTTAATTCATTCAGTCATGTGATGAATGGTTACATAACAGCAATAATTTAAAGTTTATGCGCCGTTTTTGGCCATATCTCAAAAGTTGGTTTTGTCATTTAGCCGCATTTTAGCTTGAGAACGGCAGATTAGAACAAAACAAAGGAGCGCGAAACAATCACGTCTGTACAAGATTTTGGCGCTAAAATCCAGCCGAATACTTTTACCTATTATTCGGCTACTAGCAAACCAGTGAACCAAATGTTCACCAAAACCTGATTTCTCGAAAACCGGAAGTGCTACGTTACTCAAATCCGGTTTGTAGTCTTATCAGACTATTCTTAACTTATAACTTAAATATTCTCTTTATCTACCTCTTACGGTTTGGCCGCTGAAACAGCACCACGGACAGACGGACTTGTCTAATAGATAAGAGATTCGGTCAGGGGCCTCGCCGAATATTCGGTATACTGCCGAATATAATATTCGTTGCAAGTCTAATTCATACCGTTGGAAGTTAATGTTGAACCACCATCATCAGCAGCAGTCTAATAATCCCGCTACTGAAGCACAGGCACGGGCCTTCCTCAGGGATGGGATATTCAATTCAATTCATTTATTCCATTGAACAATATAATTGTGTTGGAAATAAAAATAATAATACAAAATAAAAGTAGTCATAAATAACATAATAAATTAATTTATAAATAAAAATACAAATTCTTGATGTCACATTGGATGAAAATGGAATAAAAAAATACAAAACAACCTAATACATTAACATTATATTCGTTTTGTCACAATTTAAAAAAAAAGGTCAATGGCACAAAATGCTGATAGAGATATGAGTTGATGAGTTTAGTTTAGTTTTACGACCGAATTCATCGCTATTGTTACCAAAATAACTGCAATCTTTTTGTGGACTAGTGTCGTAGTCGTTCGTAAAAAGAGTAGGTAGCTTTCATGTTATTATTATTAAACTCTCAATTATTTCATTTCACAGCTGTTAGGTTTTTTATAAAATACATATAAAAGTAAAATACAAAAACGTAAATACAAAAATAAATATAGTGTAAAAACCTAACCTAGAAGGCCACCAGCAGCGGAGCTAGGCCCAAGCTGCCGGTGGTTAGGGAAGCAGAGAAAGAAACCGCCTGACGATCGCGCTGTGTCCAGGAGTACTGCCTTTTGCATCTGCCCCTTGACCAAACCATCTAGCGAGAGGCTCTTTAGATGTTGGTCGAGACTCTTCGCTATGAGACCGTTTACACTAACGACGATAGGGACAATGATCGTCGAATCCAAATCCCACAAACCTCGTGGGCCAAGTCCAGGTACTTGCTGAGCTTGTCCTTCTCGGCCTTCACGAGGTTCTCGTCATGCGGGATGGTGATATCGATGAGCACTGCCTGGCGTTTCAATCGATCTGTCAATACGATATCAGGCCAACAATAGTCCTGTCCGTAATGACAGACCCGGTGTGTACTTATAGTACGGGACCTCGGATCCTACAAGGTCGTATTGAATAGCAAGTTGCTGGTGAATAATTCTGGCTACGAGATTATGTCTGTGCAAATGCTCGGTGTTGGCCAGATGAGAACAACCAGAGACAATATGTCTGAGGGATTCACCAGGCCGACCACTGCCGGATTTAGGGGAGGGCAACCGGGGCGAAAGCCCCGGGGCCTCCACAAACGGGGGGCCCCCACAATAGAGACTTCGGAAAAAAAATCTTTCAAATTCCAACTAGTAAACATCTTTTCCTTTGATATTTTATTTTGCTCTTTTACATTTACTCCGAGAACTCGATATCAACGAAATCATCACCGATTTTTCGGCGAAAAAAGCTCGAAAGGTTCCGTTCGTTAACTCTTAAGATTTAATTTCAGATAATTCTTGTTTCCGTTTATATTTATATGTGTTTGTTTAATACTAAGGGAATCTACTTTGTTCGCAATAAATTATTTATTGAAAAACTCGACTGAAAAAAAAATGTTTACCTTATTTAGAAAATAATTTGGGGTGAGGGGGCCTCCGCTCCTCTGTTGCCCCGAGGCCTCTGGACCTCTAAATCCGGCCGACGACATGCTCGACAAATGTCGGCCGTTCCATCCCTCAGGACATATCTCCGATAGTTGTTCGTCATCATGACTTCGTCAGCAATTGCACAGACAAATCCTTCAGTTTCCCCAAAGAGGTCACCGAATCGTAGCCAGTTTACCGAGGCGAGCTGGTCCACATTGGGTCCTGTTAGGGCCCGATAGAACCGCCCGTGGAGCTCCTTGTTTTTCCACACTTCCTTGCGATCCTGGGTGCTAAGCACCGTCGGCTTGCGCCAGTTCTCTTTCGCCAAGGAAAGCGGCGTTAGGTTTTTGTTAACTGCTACAATGTCACGATGCAACCCGTAGCAACAGGGCCGACGCTCCTGGCCGCGTCGGCCGTGTTACTCTATAAATATATGCCATAATATAATGATCCGACTTAATCAAGAGCAGCTTGATGAAATAGGGAGATTGAGACATGACCCACCACGATGGTCCGAAATAAGAATTTTCTTTCACCCATCCGATCCACTATCGCAAACCGAAGACGCTAACCGCTCGTCATGAAGCTTCTTAATGGTATTATTAAATATGGATGGAGTCAGTACCTGTCATTCGGTGACACGATGACCAGCAGGCACGTGCAGCAGGAGGGCGTGAGGATGCTCTCCTTGATCATCTGGCCGTTCCGGTCCAGCGACCACATGCTGCGCTCCGTCATTTTCTGGTGGCACGTCGAGTTATAGCTGCTGGGGAACGATAGGATCTCCGAGCAGACGTCGTTGGGCTTACTGTAGACAAAATATGAGGTAGTACTCAGATTACAGAACAAAAGGCAGATGGAACGCACAGAACACGCAAGTGCAGCCACCAAACCAAATTCGAAATCTAAAGGTACAATTCCGCAATGGGCTGCAGGCGACAACCGCAGGTGACACTGTGGCCAGCGCCTGCGACTGACCATGCATTAAATGCATTGTGCAGCCGCGGCATGTCGCCGAGCTCGGAATCAATTTCATAGGGATTCATAGAAACTAGTAGTGTCGCCTGCAGTCTGCAGTTGCGCCCTTGGTCTGCGGTTCAGTTCGGACTTGTACCTTAAAGCGAATACAAACTCGCGTCAGTACGCTACAACGTGTCGTGTTGTGAATGAATACGTCTCGTAAATATTAAGGTTTTAACAAAACTGTGCTGCCTAGTTCAAACATTGTAAAAACTGTTAACAAAGACAAAAAAGTCTTTACTTTTGCCTTCGTTTTTGCTTTGGTGGCCGCACTTGTTACACATCTGAGAAGATAATATATAAGTAATTAATTAAAAGCATGTTTTTATTTCTCTGGGTGGGAAAGAAAAACTTTAAGTAGTACCTACTAGTATTTAGTTTTAACTAGGTGTTTATAAATAGGACCATACTAATTTTAAGGAGATAATTTAGTATAACTTTGATACAAGTAAAATTTATATTAATTCATGAAAATGGTTTAGGACATCAATTACTTCAAATAACTTTAATATTAATTGGTACCTAGGTACTTATTTTAATATAAGGTAGTTATAAACTCACGTGCACATTTCTGCTTTAAACCCTTGTACCGGTTCATTGTCTTTGTTTACAACTAATACCCACTTGCCTTGAGTAGTTTTCGCTGCTTTGGGATAGATAATCTGGAAAAAGATAGTATATTTGATTTATTTTGTTCGAGGTCTTAATAAAAAACATTAATTCCATAATATATTTTTAAACTTTCATGGTCACTAGTGTCATGTCAGTTACTCCGTGAGCATGGCGCTTGCGAAATATCTGAAACACGCTAAAAAGGTGCATGGTAACAATCCTGTAAATAAAATAAATTCCTGTAATTCCACAATAATTTCCGACTTCCATCAACTTGTTGAAAGTGTTAATTATTTCAAATTCTTACAGTTGCTAAGTTAACTTGAAGTAGATACTTAGGTTTGTTTGTTTTTTTTTATATCTTACACTTTATCTTTATGGTAATACAGTAGAGCCTTGATAATCCGAACTAGCAAAAACTAACCCCTGTTCGGTCTCACGAAGCGTTCGGATTATAGTATGTAAGGAGAAAAAAAAACATTTTTATTCTTAAAATAGTGTTTAATTATATACTTAGTTTAAGAGAACGAACCTTGGGAACGCTCTTATTACAAGCAGCGTAAGGACTACAGTCGTAATGCAAATAAAAAGCCCGGCTCGTTGTTACCGTACATTTACATAATAATTAGGTACCATAAAATACGTAAGGTGTAAATTGTCTATTTAGTCATAAACTGATCTATTTTAGTTTGGCGAGTCCTGTTGATGGACCAGAAAAAAGCTTTGTCCCTCAAGTTACGTAGCATCATCTTTTCCGATAAGGGCAGGTCATTTTCTTCAGCCCACTCCAAGCAAGTGTTCAAAGATGATATGGCTTGTGAATGAGTAATTTTCTTGACATTTGAAGCAAAATAATCTTCAGCTAAAGACTCGTCATTCTCTTGCGTTATTTGGGTTATGATCTCATCATCAGTTATAGGATCTGTGCAATTCTCCTCTTCACTCATGGACAAGAAAGTGGAAATGGTTTCTTCTGTATAACCACGATTACGTAAAAGACTGAGCGGGAGATCGTCTTCTACGTCGAAGTCATCATTTTCTTCTGATCTATCTTCTGTTGAATTTATTTTTTCAGGCCAAAGAGGCTTCCAAGATTTTTCGATAAGAGACGATGATACATGATCCCAACATTGCGCTAGCGAAAAAATGGCGTCTTTAATTGTGACGCTTTTTATAACATCATGCAAGGTTAAAGCCTCATCGGCTTCTTGCTGCACGAACATTTGAATCAGGAGTTTCTTTTTGTAATTTATCTTGACATTTTGGATTACGTTTTGATCCATAGGTTGGATCAAAGGCGTACAATTTGGAGGCATGTACAGTACAGAGAAGTTGCCGTCTTCTGTTGTCAAATCTTCAGCATTTGGATGTCCAGGGGCATTGTCTAAGAGTAGCAATGCTTTTTGTGGCAGTCCCATTTTTTTTAAATGGCGTTTGACTTCAGGAACAAAATGGCCTCTAAACCACTCGAGAAAAATATCTCTGGTTACCCAAGCACGCCTCTGCCCTTCATAATGCACTGGTAATTTTACAGATCCAAAAGATCTTGGCTTTTTTGCCTTCCCTACAACTAGCAATGGTAATTTGTGATTCCCTGTAGAGTTTGCGCAAGGCATAAAAGTTATTCGCTCTTTAGACACTTTCGACCCAGGAGCGCTAGTTTCAGCAGAAGAGGCTAAAGTTTTGTCCGGCAGAACCTTCCAAAACAATCCTGATTCGTCGGCATTGTAAATTTGTTCAGGGCAAAGGTTCTTTTCTTTTATCTCGTTTAGGAATGTTTCTTGGAATGGTTGAACAGCTTCCGTATTGCTAGAGACTTTCTCACCTGACACTTTCAGCTGACGTATGCCATGACGTTTTTTAAAATTATCAAGCCATCCTCTACTTGCAGAAAAATCCGAACCTGTTAGTTTTTTATGGAAGAATCTCGCTTTTTCCATTACGACCTCACCAGACAATGGAATGTGGCGTCGTCTTTGTTCTAAAAACCATGTGAACAGTGCGTCTTCTAGCACTGGATTCTCTGGTAATTTTAGAGTTTTTCTGAACCCTGGTCCTTTCTCAGTTTTAACTATAAAAGATCTCAATTTTTGCTCATTTTTCTTGAGGTCTGTAATTGTTGATTTTCCAACGCCATACTTACAAGCAAGAGAAGTTGCCGACACTCTGTCCTTTAAACTGTCTAGTATGGTGCACTTTTCGGCTATAGTCAAAGTTTTATGTTTGCGTTTTGGTGTTGGAACCATCTTTATAACCTCAAAAAACACGCCGCGCACGAGTACAGAGCAGAAAAACGTGGAATGGACGCGCAACGTGGCAGTCGTAACTGCAGACTAATTAATAAACAACATAGCAGCGAGGCGAAGGCGAGGAAGTGGGGTGGGGTATGCAGTTCGGATTATAGCGACGTTCGGATTAGCCTGAGTACGGATTATCGAGGCTCTACTGTAATCTTGTAAATAAAATAAATTCCTAGAATTTCACAATAATTGCCGACTTCCCTCCACTTGTTGAAAGTGTTATATTTCAAATTCTTACAGTTGCTGAATTAACTTGAAGTAGAGTTGACGTTTCCTAAGACTTTATCACGAAAGTCCCTCTAAATACAAATAAATATTCATTTACAAGGGTTTACTTTGCTTTCTTTTAAAAAGATTTATAATTATATAGCCGTTTATCTTTTATTATAAATTAATTTTCCCGTTGTTTCTGAGGGTTTAATTTTCCAAGCTTACTGTTTTATCAGCACTTGTACAATCTCTCTGGCTGTCAGTGTTTGTGAACAAAATTGTTAATTATTGTTACTCACCGTCTCTGTGTGTTCGCACAACTCTATACTATTCTCCCAGGACCCCCTTCGCTGCGATATCTCTGGTGTTTCTACGTCCAGGTTGAACATGTTATTTTCACCCGTCATCTGGAAACAAAGATGTAACATATTTTCATCTCTTTCATAATCATACACGCTAACACACATACACCCGCACACACGTACGCACACATTGATACACACATATAGAGATATGCACATACATACAACATTGATTTTCATTTAATTATTTTTAATCTATTTCATTACGTTTGTTTTGTTACAAATAATAATTGCATATAAATTTTATTAATGTGACGCTATCTTATTTATAATAATAGGGTGCCTACGATACAGGTTTCTCCTAGTGTGAGACCCACAGTCAATGCTACAGTATTGTTACATTTAGTGTTAAATAAAAATAGAAAATACACCTTTTATTAGCTCTGTTATCTATGTACGATTGTATATAATTTGGTAGAATTTAATTAATTAATGTTCATGACTTTAAAATCTATTAATGTCCCCACTGCTAGTGCTAGGGCACCGGACTACCAGGACGAATTGGTGGGTACTAACTACTGCAGATACAGCCCAGGCCAAAGGGTTATCGAGCTATCCGAAGCACTGAGGAGCGAGAGATAATAAATTAAATAAATTTTGGTCACACACAGTCACACATCATATGACCATGTCATTGCAAAAGTTGCTTTACTTAAGTGATCGCAAACCGACCGGGCTAACCACTTGCGCCATCGATCTCCTCCCGACCGCGTTAACTACTTGCGCCACCCAGCATCTCCTCTCTTTAATACTCGCTATAAGTCGCGGCACGATACTCTAGCTCTGACCGTGAATTCGCAGAAGTAAAAATTAAGATGTCTTGGGGGGAAATGAGGTGCGCGGGTGGGCATGCGTTGCGCCGATTGGCTCTCCAGTCGTACGCATGCGCAGCTATCCCCTCCGTGTTTTGTTCAGCGCCAGAGTGACGTGCCGTGACCTGTATTAATAAACATTTTCCGCAGAAAAAAAGACTAACATAACCTAAACCTAATATAACCTTAATGCATTTATCTGTCAGCTTATAATGAAGTTGCAGATGAATTCCTGGGCTGATGCCCAGACCAAGTAGGTAAGTAGTATTATTATTTGATCCCTACGACTAAAACCTTGCAGATAAGTAGATACTGCGGGTAATGGGTGGTTGGGTTGTTGCGGCAAGCTTAGAAATCCTTCAGCTAGACCGTCTTTACTCCATTCGAATTAAATTAGGTGGGATGGTGTAATTTACTGGGTTTTATTTATTTTAAACCTAAATAATAAAATTTACCTTGGATAGCATTTCATCGACGTACTCCTGTGGATAGTTGTGCACCGTCTCGCAAATAGTTTTGCCCTCACACTCCGCCGGGATCTCGGGCTCAAATGAGGCCCTCCGAGAGGTTGGGCCTGGGAACACCACGCTCTCAGAGTCAACCAGACTGCCTGCGGTAACAAAATAATATTTAAAATAAATAAAGTAGTGAAACACACGTAAATTGTAGTTCATTTAGCCTTAAATGTGTGAGGAGCTTATTTCAAGCATGGCGATGAGTGACCACTATTAACGATGTTGTATTTAACTTATATTTAGCACTAGTAGTTATATTTTAGTACTAGCTATGATACCCGGCTTCGCTCGGGAGTTAATATGAGATTACGTGGCAGTTGAAATAAAAAACTAAAATATGATGTAAAAAGTAAAAAACAATATTGAAATCATTTTCTCATTATTTACACTACTTGTTTATAAACAACATTTATCATTTTATTGTCCGGGGTATATATATATATCTTACAGTTCAAACCCGATTTTAGGTAGAACGTGTTTTCCCTAGTTTCGAATTAGGGAAATAAAATTTTTCGAATTTCCTACTCTTGAGCAAGCTACATATTATAGCTGACCGTGAGGGAAGCAGGATTCTTTGAGGTTGATGCCACAATATTTTAGTTTGCCCTTGCGCTTTGTTAATGTGGTATTCTACTTTCTTAGACCTTCTTGAAGTTCAAATACTCGACAACAGATAGCACCACTATACTTAATTTCCAAGTTCAAATACTCGGCAACAGATGGCGCCACTACACATAATTTCCAAGTTGAAGGGTTGGAAAAGCCCATAATCTTTAAAAACACTTAGGTTTAAACGGGAACTTTCTTGTTCGAGGGGGGATAAAGGGCTATCACACTATATAAGTCCCTTTATCGTGCCGGGACTCCTTTTTAAGTTTTTTCGGCACGCACATTTTATCAACTTAGTTTTATTATATTTTGTTAATGATGTAGTTTATAGTATTTTACAGCTTTTTAAAGTGACCACTATACATTCAGTACGTAAGTAGGTATATTAAAGTTGTCTTGGAAAATTCGTCATCCAAGGAGAATTTAAACGTCATGTAGATTTCACTGGTATTCGGTCACAGACTGTGTGACTATTTGGCCATCAGTTTGTTTGAACATCATCCACTACTTGCATAAAATATACGTACACATCGCTTAATTAGTAGATAAATGTATGATATATTAGTCACTATGACACTATGCGTGACTCTGGCTCATACTATGTCGTAACACAAGATAATGTTTACATAATTTTGTAAGTTTAAATTATCGGAATGGTTAGTTAAGAACTCATAGTTTAGAAAACTGTTGTGGAAATAGTTTGCATTGGGACATCTTATTTATTACCTACCAATGCTAAAATTGGCGTCAATACCTAATATATGACTATGGAAATTAGATATATGTACATTTATATCCAGTAAAAATAAAAATCTGTCTGTACAAATTTTTATCTGGCCACGAAAATGATTAACCATAGTATGGTGAAAAATAATTTTAGCTTTTTTATTGCTTATTCTCTTCTCTGTTTCTACCATATACATAGACACATACATATATAGTTATATATAATAAACTATTTTCACAAACACAGAAATACAGTGTTTTCGGCAGGTAATTTATTTTTTAGCAGAAAATTGCGTCTTCTTTATAGTAATTATTATATATTTTCTAAAACCTCAATATGAAATTTCTCCACGAAAGTAGCGCGGCGAACGCTTTTCAAATAATTATCCTATGCCGGTTACCTAAGGGTAGATTGTCTAATACCGATCATTGTTTTCAAAAATGTTTTTATTAGAATAAGTAGGTAGGTATCTATTACTAAGACTACATGCAAGAAGGTCAAGCGCCATTTTTAGATGAAATCGCGCCATCAACGAAAATAATACATGCTATGATGACCGTGCGATGACCATGACCCTCTTCCCCTTCGATATTTTGAGTTTTATTTTTAATTTCCCCCATTTCGAGCCTCACGTGATTTATGGAAAATCACTTACTTAAACCTGTTTGATTATTGATACATTTTTAAGGCACTGTTTGTATAATATCGGCAGTTAACAAGGCTATGCGTATTTGTAAACTTGACAACAGTACCTACAATATCTCTCTTATACTTCCTATAGTGTGAAAAGCACCAACTTCTATAAAAATGAAAAATACCAAATACGAACAGATATGTAAAATGCTCGCATCACATATATTGTGTTAACTGCCTACCCGATCGTCAGGGCGTAAGGGAGTCAAGAGAGATCGATCGCCCTAGATAAGGTCTCTTTACTCCCTAACTCTTATTACACCACCCTAAGCCAGGTTAAGGGTCCCTTAAAATTGTTACCGTAGCTAAAGGACATGCCCAGTATCGATAAACCCCTAAAATTGGGTAATGAAGCGTGCAAATAATTTGAGATCCTAGTAGGTAGGTAATTTTCTCCTGGCGACGAGATATCTAATAAGTTTCATTAAAAATTGTTTTTCACTTTTTTTTTGTAATAAAGATACTTAATCTTTATTTAAGTATTTTTAATAATGTTCTTAATAATTGTAATTGTGTGTGAATGTAATTTTTTAATAATGCCATCACTGAGTGCGTTCGTCATTATCAATATCCTGAATGATCCAACAAAATTAGGCATTGATTAAATACGAACCTGTTCTGCTCCCGATTTTGAGAGAGATATTTCCGTTTCTCGATTCTGCGGCGTCATTGTTGAATCTCGTCCACTCTTGAGCCTGCACTCTTTGGGCACTGTTGCTGAAGGGTATGGACCTCTCGCTGGCCACCCTGTCAGATCGGCCATATCCATAGCCTTCAGCGTTCCTGACTTCTATGCGTCGCGATAATTGTGGAGGTTGCTGATAGCCCCGATACGAATAGAACCCTGAGTAAGGATGTATCTGTCTGTATGCTGATGCTGCAGTCTGGAAACAAAGTGAAAAATAAAATTACGGATAGTAAATACTTATACCATTTTATATTATCTATATCTATCGAGTGTATTAACAGTTTGTTGAGTTTTGATAATAAAATTAGCGACTTTTAACATTGACCTGCTATTGGATGGATGACCGAAAATTCATTTCTTTCCTACTTTATATGGAATCTTATTTATATATTTATATCTATGAATTTATTATAATTATTTATGCACGTTTTTCTAGTCATTATAAGTATTTATAATTATATTTTTTTACCAAAAGCGTAGGCACTACAGGCCCTGCCAGAGAGTACCAGCGCTGTTATGGTGCGAATTGATCAGTCCTATTATGACAGCATCAAGCTGTCGGAGAGTCCTGATTAGCCTCTTCTACAATATCCTAATCTCTTCTATCTCATTGTTTGTTATGTTTCGTTGTTGTTATTTATTGAAATGGCATTTTTTTAAATGCGTAGCAAATAAAAAAAGCTTTTTCTTTTTTTCACTCTATTAAGCTCTCATGTTTCGGAAGGTAGGTATATTAAGCAATGTTGAGTCGTTGGTCTACGCGTCTGCTGTCGCTAGGAGCACGGAAACTGCGTGGTACATGCATACAATAAAAATAATATAAATCTGTTAATAATCAAATTCATGATGTACCTATGTATACCTAGTTACAAATGCTGAAATGAAAATAAAATAAATAGGTAGATATGAGCGTTTAAAGTGTGGTTAGCAACAACTCGTCTGTCGCTAATCTTGATTTTATAGTCTAAAATCATAGTACACATCAAACCGGTTCCTAAAATTGTACTAATGCGTGCAAAACTGGTCATTCTCAATCAATTGACAATACTTTAAAAATAGACCAGTTCAGATATTGAATAACCTCGATATTGAACGTAAACAAGTACCTACCAATCTAAATTTTTTTTTGAAATTTAAGATTGTTATGTTTTAATTTTTTAAAGCACGGAACTGCTTGATGTTTAAATCTAAAGAAAATATAATTAGATAAAAGTCCACGTGGACCAGGCAGCAGACGGGACTCGAACCCGCACCCTTCCCTATCCCGGCGAATGCACTAACCAATTACGCTACCGCAGCCCTAACGGACCGCGTCGAAATTCTTCTAGCCGTTCTTAAGCTGCAAGGCAGCGCCATCTCTTCGCATTATAGGTAACCCCACAATATCATATAAATACTTTTACAAGTATTAAACATTTGAAAGAAGAAATAGCAATTATAGTTATAATTTTTTTTGTTATGTTTTGTTAATGGTTCACGATCATAAATCGAGCATGCCCGTGGGGTTGAAAATTCTCTTCCACGGCACAAAATACAAAATAGCCAGAAGGACGACTCCCGCCATCCATCCTCGATAATAATTACCTAAGACATAAACTTTCTGATATTGATTTGATTTTAACAACCCGTGTCGCTAGTCACGAATAAATTTAGCTTGAAATTCAATGATATTAATATCGTTGTTGAAACGTAACGTAACGTCAATATGTGCGTGGCAGAAAGCTTTTTAGGGTTCCGTTCCCAAAGGGTAAAAACGGGACCCTATTACTGAGACTACACTGTCCGTCTGTTTGTCCGTCACCAAGCTGTATCTTATGAACCCTAATCCCTTCGGCCGCTCTTGAAACCAGTTTCGTAAAAAGAAAAAAAATCTTGAATTAATAAATCATACAAACGCAAACCAACTTCTCTATTCTGGCACCATATTTGGACTCAGCAACCCCGAAAACTTAAAGTTCCGGTAGTCTGGTCTTTCGCGCAGGGTACTGTTTTTTTGTGGACCTGTGTTTATTATTCGAATAGGCCATTTGGCATTTGGAAAAGTTCTTAAGTTTAGTTCGGTCACATGACCGACAATATATTTAGACTCAGCGACCCCGAAACCATAAACTTCAGGAAGTCTGGTCTTTCGCGCAGGGTACTTTTTTTTGTGTGGCCCTATGTTATTATAATGCAATAAGATTTTTTCTTTTCGAATACAAAGGTATTTTTTGTACCGTTTTCGAAAAGAGAAACATATTTCTTATTTAGCAACTGGTTTCGAAAGCAGAAATATTATTCCTTATTCGAAACTGGTTTCTAAAACGGCCGAAGAGACCCTGATAGCTAGACAGTTGAAATTTTCACCGATGATGTTCTACTGTTGCCGCTATAACAACTAATACTAAGAAGCTAATGTAGTCTGAATCCGGGGATTTTGATATCAAATTCGGATTCAGGTTTTTTTTTAAGTAACCCTGACCCCTCTCCCCCCACCCAGTGTGTCACTCCGCAATTTTTTGAGCGAGTTTGACACGCACTTAGCCGGTTGTTTTTGTTCTGAGCCTATTTTCTCTACTTGGATATGACAGACGATTACTTGACCTTACTTAAGTGTCGAAAATGTAAGTTTTACTCAATCCACTCCTGAATATGATTATACTTATTAGTTTTACACTTTTAGTTATTTTCATTCAAATCTTGCATGATTTTAGCCGCAATCATTTTCAAGAGTTTGTATAATAGATGCTCTAAGGGTCTTAGGCAGCGTCGCCAGACGGTAAGTATTCAATACTTACCGTGAAAAATGATTTTTTTTTTCAAGAGTTTGTATAATAGATGCTCTAAGGGTCTTAGGCAGCGTCGCCAGACGGTAAGTATTTAATACTTACCGTGAAAAAAATTTACCGTGAAATATTGAAAATTGTTATTTTTGTAGGTTAAAGTCAATTTTGACAGCTATTTTGATCAGTTCTGCCATTCTTTCATGCAAAAATAACATGTTTCTCGTTGTTTGTGGTAAAAATATGTTTATTATGTTGGTACTATTGTCAAAATGACAGATATACCGCAATTTTATGTTTGTTTTGAGATCCGTCAGGCAGTCATTGTGTGCGTCGCAGTTGAAAGCGTTTTCATAAAGCGCGAGCCGAGCGAGCAAAGCGAGCGTGCTGCAGTAGCGGCCGGCGAAGCGAAAAATTCGTTAATAGAGACCTTTTCTACAAAAAAAAAAGAAATATCACCTCTTGGGCCCTGGAATTGTGGGTTACGAACGTATAATAAAATATACGTAATAACATAACGTATATTAATTACTTTTTAATATTAAAGTCCCTTAAATTAGTCCAGGATTCCATTCCATCCTCATCTAGCCTGTGAAATAATGAAGTATACCTTTTGTAGAGTGAAGTTTTCCAAGGCATGGCTAAAAACAAAGCTAATCTTTACAGGAAAAAAATTAAATGTTTAAAAGAGTCTATTGTGGTGTGAATCCGATAATAATAACGAAAGTTTAATTTTGTAAAGCTGCAATTATTGTGTAAGTGCACTAGTTTAATGAGATATTTTTTTATGTTACAACAGTACCCTTAGTATGAGTTTGAGCTCACGAAAACTATCATAGTTTTCGTAATTGTAAATTATGTTGCTACGGCGATTTTGGTGAAGAGTAACCAAATATACTTAAAATTTAAGAAGACGCAAATGATTTAATGATAGAATTAAAACACTGTTTATTTGTATTGAAACGAAAACAATAAAATCAGTACCCTTAGTACGAGTGCGAGCTCACGAAAACTATCATAGTTTTCGTAATTGTAAAACTCGTACTAAGGGTACAGGTAGTTTAACACTTAGTTGTCGTCTCGCCTGCTTTTACCTACCTTCCTGATCCTTTATATAAAAAATGTAACATCAAAGTCAGTCTCTATTTTTAAAATTAAACCTACTCATTGCTCATTATAATCATTCATCATATTTTTTGTCTCTTAATGAAGGTTTCTTTTTTCACCTTTTTTAGGTAGCCAACTTCTTGTTTTTTACATGGTTGTTAGTACAACTTATAGCGAATATTTTTTAGTAGGTAGTTTGTTCAACTAGGACACTAGGAGCATTCTCACCAGGGCCGGATTTTGAGTTGTATCGCCCTGGGGCAACGAACGAGTGGAGGCCCCTAAATCTGGGCCCCTCGGCCACAGAGCTCCGTCTATCTTGCGTTAAATTCCGCTCTGATTCGCACTTCATCGTTGGGGTTAGGTGGTTCTGGCTGTTTGTGTAGGTACATCTCAAAGAACTTTTCTCCAGCAGTAGTGACAGAAAGAAAACGGATAATAATTTCAATATTTTCTTTTCACTTCTAGTAAGTAGGTAGGTCTTAGCCTTAGTCTTAGTAGTACGGCGGGCTGTTTCCGCAACTCGACACCCAGTGCCTTTTTTGCGTGGGGATTGGCATCAGTCCTACCATCCCAGCTCCTTCAGAAAGCTCAGCAGTCCCCGGATGTTGCTGCAGGCTTCTACTAGTGTCCGCGGTCTTCCCATTAGAGAAGTCCTTTGTCTTGCAACGCCTCTGCACTCCAGAAATTAAGTGGACATTTAGGTACTGCATTTCCCAGACAAAAAAAAATAAAAGGTACGATTACGTCCGTAGCGTTACGGCCTCTTTGCTTGTGTAGTGCCCACGGCTGGCAATTATATTAAAAATAAATATAAGTATTTAAATTTTAGAATGCGGGAATCTTTTGACTCTTTCTTTTGATAGTTCCAGATAGAATTCGGGCACAGACAGGATAGGTTTATTTAATTGTAACTTTGTTTCTGAGTTCAAATAAATATAATTAAAAGCCCAGTTGCTATTATTTCATCACCATTTGAGTTATGTACCCCAAGTTCTCCCTTCTGGAGAACCTCATAGTATCTATTTTCATTCTTCTATTAAGCACATAGTAGAACTTCGGAATACAAATGTAATTAGCAATTAGTTAAACTGAGTAGAATAGAAAATAGACGTACCGTAATGGTGATGTTTCTAGGAAATCACCAAAATCAAACAAAAATTAAACTTCAAATCTCCCGTGGTCATTTTTGCTGAAAGTAATTCATGTTATTATGAGTGGCGACCAATTGCCTCATTATTGTACGCGTACTTTTCAGGTTTCAGTCAAAACACTATTGTTACCTGCTATGGAAGCATGCATGACATACGCGTTAATGTATGTGAGT